ATACAATTTTTTGTTTAGTTTTAAATTTGCGTATATCTAAAATATGTGTAATAATATGTTTAAGGAAATGTATCTTTTTGAAAATCTTAATTTATTTATTATACTTCTTTTAATGGATGAATTCAGTAATAGGTTAACTGGTATGACGTTGATGTAAACGATATGAAGGTTAGAGACAATAATTATTTCCATTCTTAATATTGATCTCCATAGATTGCGTTTAAAAGCTTTGTTTCAAGTATATATACATATTTATACAAACAAAGCTACCATAAAATAAAAAAATAGTTAACCTAAAATTTCGTTCTAATCCTAATGATATTAGATTTGGAAACTTGTTATGATCTATAGAAAAAAATTAAGTTTCTTTCAACAAAAACCACGTAATTAAACAACACTTAATAATGGATGTTTTATTCTTTTTATATTCTAGATGCAAAAAACTAAAAAGTAAAACTATATTTTTAATTATACGAATGTATTACAATACTAAATAAAAATACATTCGAATCGGCTTACTTTAATATAATGTGAAAACTATTAATAACTCTGTATCTTTAGAAATAAATTAAAACATGACTTATTAATTGAAACATTTAAGTAATAATTTAACAATCATTTAAATTTAATATGAATGTAAACTCCATAAGATCAAAAGAAGATATAATCAATGGGATGTAGAAAATTTTCAGTTTTTTATTATTACTATTTAAATATATCCTTTCATTTGCCTTTTACTGTTTTCCTTTTAGACAGAAAGGTATCAAACTCATATTGTGTATAAAGATTATTTGCTAAGTGATTAAATCCATATTGATTAAGGATATTTTTTAAACAGAAATGCATAAGAAAATAATACAAGGCATATATTTTTTTTTATAATTTTTGTTTTTCTTTCTTAGCCTGTTCAGCTAGTGCTTCTAAACGATCATATTCTGCAATTAGAGCATCAATTTCACTTGCAGGAAGAATTCTTGTTTTGGTTTTACCGTTTTCTCTGGTTAAGGTGGCCATTTCCACTGCAATGAAAAAAATGTAAAGAATGAAAATATATTTATTACAGGCAATATATACAAAAAAAAAAGTTAAATTTACCTTTGTCAGCTGACAATTTATTCATATCTAAAGTTTTTGAAAGTACTTTTATAGCTAATGCCATGGCATCCTTTAATGTTGTTTCACCATCTTTATACTCCTGTTTCAATGATGATACTGCTGCAGCTGCATTGTTTCCAATACAAGTTGCTTTCCACCCTCCATAATTTCCACTTGGATCTGACTGATATAACTGATACCCATAATGTTTATCCCATCCCATATACAAAATTGAAACTCCAAAAGGTCTTTTTCCACCATACTGTGTATATGCTTGTTTTACATCACAAAGCCAAGAAACAAGTTGTTCGCATGGAATTGGTTCTCCATATTGTAGAAGATAACGTTGTGCAATAAGGCGTAGTTCATTTGTTAATACATTTGCATCTGAAGTAATACCAGCAACAGAACAAACAACATCATCATTCAGCTTATAAATTTTTTCAGAGTAAAAAATTTCATCTAGAAGTTTATTTGTGTTGCGCCTTTCAGCTGCAAGTAGAATTCCATCATTTGCTAAAATACCAAGGCAAGTACCCGCATGACTTATAGCTTCCATTGCATATTCAACTTGGTATAAGCGACCCTCTGGTGAAAAAATCGTTGTACGTGTATCATATCTTCGTGCCTAAAAGTAAAATATTTTAAATTAAAACTATAGAAATACTAACGCAGAGAACACAATAATAATGATTATTATTAATATAATAGCATTTCGTAATAAAATCACATGTGATTTAAAGTTATTTTGAAATGTGTAAATAATCCTAAAATGATACAGCATTATCTAACAGACTGTACAATCCTAACCTATATGGAGTATTAACAGAATTAATTGAAATTAATGAATACTTAAATAGGTAAACGATTTCGGCGGAAAGGAAAACAAATTTGTTAAAGATTATAACAATAAATGTATACAAACTAAATTCATAATAAAGACATAACTTAGTATAATCAGAAATATGAATAAAAACATTAATTTATAAAAAGGGCTAAATAATCATAGAATACAATCGAAAACAAGTATCAATTAATATTACTTTAACATTGTTATTTAAAAAAACTTATTCTTATCCAATGACAGTGCAGTTTATACAACCTATTCAGGAAAGTTTTATACAAAAGTTAATAAAACAAAAGACAATATTACGAATGATAATTATATTATTAATTTTAAATAAATTTACTTGGTATTTACCATTATATAAACTTTTTGTTATTACAATTACAGCACTAGAATATATGAAAATGAAAACTTGACACTGTAGGTTAAAACCGCTGCCTCAGTTAACTATAGGTTAAGATCAGTTGCCTTCAGAATATTGGACACTTATGTATATAATATAGTTTCGCTAGCACAGTACAGAACCATCTATCGAGGTGAATGAAACCAAATGAGTAATGGCGGGCATTTTAAAATTGGTATTTGTACATTTACTTAATTCAATTTTAACCGAGATTAAAAGTATATCTATTTCTACCTCATATGTCAAATTGACGGATATTGATATATTCAAATGTCGCATATACAAAACTTCGAAG